TGCAACACTTAACATATTGACAGCATCTAAAAGACTCATAGCTTTTGTCGGGTTTGCTTCTTCAGGAAGGTCCATAATTTTCATCAGAAGCTGCTTTCTATAAGATTGTTTCAAGCTATTAATGACGCCTTGATCCGTAGGCTGAAGAASCGATGTAGTRTTAGGCGGAAGAAAATGTAGTTGAATGTTGTGAAGATGAACTTGAGGATGAGCAGGGCAATTATCTACTAATAGCAAAATTTTAGTGTTGGCTTTTATAAGTTCACAATCCCATTTCTTTAAATAGTCAGTAAAGGTCTGAGAAGTCATCCAGGATTTGTTGTTAGCACAATAATCTACCGGCAACGTTTTAACGTTTTTAAAGCATCTGGGATTGTTATATTTTCCTGAAAGCAGATATTGTTCAGAAACAGCGGATTGTATTAAATTGTATTTAAAACTTACCAATAACCAATAATTTCTGTTTTACCGTGCMCGATGCATTAGCACAAATCGTGGCAGTTATTCTTTCTTTAGACATTTTTCYACCACTGCATGTTTCACCTTTGATCTTATGTGTTTTGTCAGGCAGCATCTTATAGAAAATTCCTGTTTCGWCCGCGTTAAAAATGTTGTCCATGTAATAATTGTTACTTATTGTAGGCCTGGTTTGTAATAGCCAGTCATTTGTAACACTTTGGTCCACAGAAGCCGATTTACCACAAATTTTGCCGAAGCAAATATTATGCCTCTTTTTAAATCTGTCTAGCCATCCGGAACTGCATTTAAAATTACCACCGACAGCTTCTCCGAATTCATTGGCTTTCATCATTAGCATTGGACCACTTACTGGAAAATTATTAGCCCTTTTCTGCTGAAACCATTTAAACAGTAATTCATCAACTTGAGGATGTGTCGCAAATCTTATTTTTTTTCTTATCGTTGACTTTCCAATCATTTTTAATTTTTTCCCGATTAATCCATATGTTTGAAACAGTCTGTTTTTTAGGTTTTTGTTCAAGCAAATGTCAGGGAAGTTCCTCTTTCAATTTCGCATATTATTGTATATTTTTCATGCAATGCAAATGCTCGCTTTTTTTTTCCCCGACATTTTTCTAAAAATCAACAACTCTCAATGAAAAGCCAACGAACGTCACTTTCAGCCCACCGCAGAAGTTGTTTGCCTTCTTTGACTTATTTCCAAGAAAAAATGAACAATTTTTGCTGCAGAGAGTGATTGTGTCTCGTGATCGAAGGAAGTACAAAATTTTGCTTATTGCCAACTGATTGCCAACTTTGTTTTGAAATTTGATCTTGAAAGCTTCGGTTATAATGGACAAAATCCGACTTTATTGTCTAATATAACCGGAATCCATTATAACCGAGTCTATTTTAACCGAGTTTTTTACATATGTTTGAACTGGGACTTGACAAAGAGGTACATAATAACAGAGTTTCCATCTTAAGCGAGTCCATTATAAATGGATTACACTGTACCTACATATTTATTTGATAAAAGTTTTGATAACATGTTCAAGGACCAAGCGGTCGCACGTATTCACGTATGCAATTATGTGTGCATGTAAACAAAACGAACCATACGCATAATGTTTTTACATTTGTTCACACACAACTTTGTAAATATGTACATATGCGTTGTGTTTCATGCGAAATTTCCGTTGAAACGGACAACCAATGGCGAAGCTTACGTTTTGTCAAAGAGTCAACATGTTGTTGGTAGAAAATCCGAGCTGTGCCGAAAACACAAATGAACGATCGCCAATTGCCACTGCTTCCCTTGCCGYTGTAACAGTTTCTCCAACAAACCAGCGTAAATATATATGTTTCTGTATGAACTTGTATAAATTAATTACAATGCAAGTTTTTACTTACGGCGATGTTGCTCGGTTTATTGCTGATTACTAATTAAATTTTTACAATTTGGTTTCATTACTCTTAGCCTAAGCTCAACCTCTTCTCTGCGTTGTTGTTATTTTACTCGTGCCCAGTCGAACATAGGAGTTGTTGTTAGGTGGAGTAGTTTAAAGCGGCCGAACTCAACTGTTGCTATGGTCGAATCATTGATTGCTTCGCGCAATAACTCGAAATGGTGAGGTGTGTTGTTGCTTTGGTAGGACGCCTGTTTTGGCGGGAACATCCGGCTGTTACTAAGAGGCCGTTTTGTTGTATATTTGTGATGTTGGCTATTTTATAATTGTTGATTTATAATTTTTTATAGGATCTTAACCTTGTAACTTAAGTTCGTTAACCAGTTTGGTAAACATTATATTTGCCTTGGTTATCTTAACTTATACATATCGACGAAGATTTTTGCAAGCCGCGTAAAAATATTTTTTGCATTCCTTGACAAATACAGTCAATCCCGGTTATGTGCTACAATCAAAGATACAGATTTTTGTAGTTTGTTAAAAATAAAAATTTAATATGGCACATAAGTGAGTGCGAATACCTACGAGAGTGGTACAAAAAACAAACCGTGAGATGCGGCAAGATATGGGCAGTTAAGACTGATGAATTTCATTTAATGGAGTACTACTTAACCGGGATTCACTGTACATATAAATCAGAGGAATWTTGAATATTTTMTTTKSCACATTTCTTGACTTGAAAATCGACAAATAAACTATGTTGTCAATTTTATTCTAATATATTTTAATTCTTATATTTGCTTGGTTTTCACTTTTTCCTTCTTATACAAATATCAGAAATTGTTGAATTTATGATTTTTAGCGTTTGCCGTCGTCGCGAAAAGACTATTATAGGGAAAAACATGCTCGGGGAGATGTAATGGTGTTTGGTTTTATGAATGAAGCAAGTTTGCATGTTAAAAGAGCGCTTGTGTTCATGGCTGAAAATATTGTTGTTGTGTACTTAAAACAATAATTAGTATTTCAAAAAACAAGCCGTGAGATGCAGCAAAATATGGGTAGTTAAGAGGGATGATTTCCATTTAATGGAGTACTACTTAACCGGGATTCACTGTACACATAAATCAGAGGAATATTGAATATTTTCTTTGGTACATTTCTTAACTTGAAAATCGACAAATAAACTTTGTTGTCTATTTTATTCTTATATATTTTAATACCTATATTTGCGGTGTTGTCACTTTTTCCTTCTCATACAAATATCAGAAATTATTCAGTTTATGATTTTTAGCTTTTGCCATCGTCGGCTCGGGGAGATGTAATGGTGTTTGTTTTTATGAATGAATCAAGTTTGCCTGTTGAAAGTGCGCTTGCGTTCATGAATGAAGAAATTGTTATTGTGTACTTTTCTACAAATTTGGGTATCGACTATTTGGCTGCCATATTGACTTGTGACGCTGCTGATGCTATTTGAAACGCTTGTTGTTTTTTTGGCGAGCCCGATTCATATTGCTACGGATACACTTCTTTCGGGATCACGCTCAATTAGTATTATCTAACTCTACTGGACTTGCGTAGCAGTACGCCTACGTACTAAACCCTGAACACCGGTATCGGTAGCTTGTATTTGGACAGAATGCCTCTTCAGAAACTCCTTTCGTGGTTCAGCTGCTCTCAAGCTTCTTAGCTGTCGTTCGTGGAACGCTGTTGCGGCCCACTCTTTCATTTTCCCCATACCAACTTTGATCGCAGCATGTGGCTTATAATGTTGTCACGTGTCATCCTTTGGTTTATTATTCCTTCAATGGTAGTTCTCTCCACTTCGTATCTCGAACAGAAAAAAATATGTGCTCGGCRTTTTCGTTGACACTGCTGCAGAAAGAACATATTGTGTCATTGTCGTGGCCGAATCTGTACAGGTACTCCCTGAAACAGCCATGGCCTGTCAAGAATTGTGTCAGATAAAATGTTGTCCCCATGTTGTCTCTCAATCCAAGTTGATACGTTCTTAATTAGCTTGCTCTTCCATCTTCCTTGTTATGCCGATTTCCATTGTCTTTGCCACTCTTCGAGGTTAACCTATCTCTCCTTTTTTCGCTCATCAGCTGTTAGACTCCTATTCACGGCTTTAGATTTTTGGTAGGTTCTACGTAACTCTGAGGCCATTAGGTCCGGAGACATAAGAGCGAGTATGATACTGGCCGCTTCATGTGAGACCGTTCTGAATGCACAAGCCACTCTGATGGTCACTGCCTTTACCTTATTGACATTGGTTTTTTGGCGCAGTGGTTTTCCGACTTTAGCTAGTAGGGCTCTCCTAGCAACCACCGGTTTTAGCAATTATTCTTGACAGGGCCGCTGTAACAGTAGCTGCTTTACTACAGGCTTTTCCAAAATGCGCTTTGAAATTCAATCTCGTATCAATCATAACGCCAAGATATCTCTGGGAGTTTTGCGTTGTAACGTTGTATCCATTGATATTTATGGTGACCGTTTCTAGTTTTTCCTGCTCGTGATAAGCACCGCTTCCGTCTTTTCTCCGGCCAGCTGCAGCTTAGTTTCCGCGAGCCAGTCCTTAATTTTTAATGTGGTCGCATTGCAGCAGTTTTGAATTTGTTAGAGCTCTTTCGCAACTATCGTCATATTTGAGCTTCTTTTGGCAGCGACAGGCGTAGCAACCCGTCGTACAGCACATTCCAAAGTAACGGACCCAATACGGAGCCCTGCGGTACTCCACCTGTCACCATGTAGCGTTTTGGGCCGGCATCGGTGTCGTACAGTAGCAGCCTATCAGACAGGTAGGTACTGATTATCCTTAGAAGATATCCCAGTGTGTTTTCGGCCTCTAAAGCTATAATTATATGAGGCCAGGATGTAGAATTAAGAGCATTTTTGGGTCAAGTGTGACAACTGCGCTATGTTTTTTATCACCAAGCATCCACCTGGTTCCCTCTATGACCTTGGTCGCAATGTCCGTAAATTTTGGGACTGCGTGCATGGTGGATCGATGCCTTAGGAAACCAAATTGGTTTTTAGACAAGCCAGGCAGCTTTTCTTCTAGGYGACACTCCAGATGTTAACAGATTAACTTCTCCAATATGTTGGCCATCGTGTCGATCATACAAAATGGTCTACACGCACTTGGCTCGCCCGCTGGTTTGTTTGGTATCAGGAGGAAATGGGAACACGCCTTCGTTTAGACATGAAGAAAAAATTTCAGCGAAGGCCTTCTTGATGTGCTTAATTGCAATCTTAAGCGCCTTGTTTGGGACGCCATCACGTCCTGGCGCCTTTTTATTGCCGAATCTTTCCGCCACTTCCACTACTTCCTCCTCGTAGATTGACAAAACTTCGACCACTGATGGTATTCTTCTGCTCGTATGCTGCTCTTGCGATGGGACGAGCGTTTTCACGACATTTTCTAGCAGTGTAGTACAGGTTGGTGTCTGRGTTTTATCCCCCTGACCTTTGCCATTACTATTTTATAGGCAACTTTCCACGGATTTTCATCTACCTTCTCGCATAGTTCTTTGAATCATAAGGTCTTACTTCTTTTAGTAGCCTTTTTAACTAATTTCGCTTTCTTTTAAAATATTCTCGCAGTCGCGAAAGTTCTAGCGTACCTCACCTTCTTTGGGAGAGGCGTCTCGCTCTATAACACTCGCTTCTTAGTGCGCTAATCTATTCGTTCTGTGTTGCCTTTTTCTATACATTGCCGCGTCGCAAGCTTTACTTACGKGACTTACCAGCA